TAACCTACGTTTAATTATAGCCGAGAGCCAGTAGGTGTTAATTCGAACAAAGTCAAACATAACCTACATTTTAGAAAGATGTGTTGGTAATCATGAAGTTTATTGCCTTGGCATTGTTGCTTTGGTTACATATTTGGAGAAATTTACAAGTTTTTCTAGGTGTCGACTGGCGTTCCAGTCCCAGTCCTCTTCTATCTAGTCCTTTTATTGGTTGACCTGGAGAGTACTTGAGAGGACGGTCAATGAAGTAGTAGTCATGGCGTCGTTCTCGCGAACTTTGACTTAAAGTGTTTCCTTCGTCGCCTCATTAAAAACCTCCTTGATAAAACCCAACTGGGACAAAACTCAAGTGAGGAAAAAAGAGTACGACTTAGGGGGACGCTTTATCTTTTAGAAGTTGAAGTACTTGAGATGAATAATATTCCAGTTGTTTGGTAGTAACTTTCCTTCCATTGTTTCTAGTTGGAATGATCCTTTATTTGCCTTTGACGTGATCTTGTACAGACTGTCCCAATTCATTCATAGTTTGCCTTCCCGTGGATCTTTGCTCACTTGTGTTTTAGCTTTAAGCATGTAGTCCCCGACTTTGAGCGGCCCGACCTTTGATTTCTTTTTATAGTAGCGTTCTGCATGTCGTTTTATGCGATCGTTCTTATATAGGCCATATCTCTTCGCTTTTCGACTTTGTCGAGTTCCTACCTTCTGCTTTCGTCATTTATCGTACCGCTTTCATGGGAGTACCTTTGGCTGGGTTCTCTGACCTCGACTAGTATTACTGCATCGGTCCCATAGACCAATGAGTAAGATGTTTCTCCTGTACTCGTTTTCGGAGGTGTTCGATAAGCCCACAGTGCTTCTGGTAATACTTCCGGCCACAGTCCCTTGGCGTCCTCCAGCTTTTGCTTCATGATGTTCAGTATCGACTTGTTGGAGGACTCTGCTTGCCTGTGGGGTGATATGGCATCGAGAGTATCCTTTTGATATGCCATTTCTCAAAGAACTCGTCGGTATTCTTTCCCGTGAATTGGGGTCCGTTGTCGCAGCTGATATCTTTGGGGAGGCCGAACCGACATATGATGTTCCTCCATATAAAGGTGATTACTTCATTTTTTCCGTATTTGGGCGAATGCTCCTGCTTCCACCCACTTAGAAAAGTAGTCAGTTAAAATCAAAAGGAATCGTACGTTACCTCGTCTTGCCGGGAGGGGGCCCACGATGTCCATTCCCTATTTGATGAATGGCGAGGGTGAGGTGACTGAATTGAGGTGATCACCCCGCCTGGTGTACCATTGGGGCGTACTTTTGGCATTGCTCGTATCTTTTTACGAAGTCCGCGACCTCCTTTTTCATGGTGGGCCAGTAGTATCCTGCTCGCATGAGGCATCTGACCAAGGCCCGATTGCCAGAGTGAGTTCCACAATGGCCCTCGTGGACCTCTTCAAGGACGCGCCGAGTTTGGTTTGGGCCCAAGCATTTCGCCAGAGGGCCGCCGTAAGTTCTCTTATACATGTCGTTATGGATGATACTGTACCTGGCCGCTTGCATTCTCAGTTTCTTGGCCTCTTTTTTATCGTCTAGGAGTATGCCGTCCTGCAAGTATGTAATAATATGATTGCGTCAGTCCCCACAAACGACGCCAAATTATTTGACCCAAAAACGTAAATCTCGGTTCAAATAATTAATTCTAATTAAACATAGGTTAATCTTAGTTAAGAATAATTTCTTCAAATCTTGATATCAAAGAGGTAGTTGAAAAACATTTATGAAGAATTGAAGACTATAATGATTCCTTGCAATATATGCTTTACAACTACCAAGAACAATAACAATATGCAAGATATTCAATAAGTGTCAATCTGGTGGTAGTCACGTAATTAAGGGGAATAATTTAAGCAACAAAAAGTGGAACAAAGGAAACTTTCACTTGACAATGATTGGATGACAGATCCTCAAACAGTCGAGGATTCCTCGGATCTAGCAAGAATCTTAATGAAAAGTAAAGTCTTGTATTGAGTGAAAAATAAATCTTTTTCAAAGTGTTGTTCTTACAAGAAATGAATTTCACGTGCCTTTCCTCTCTCTTCCTTCTATTTATATGGGATCCTTTCCAGAAAAATCCTAATAGTACAAATATAAGGAATATTCACTAGAATATTCCCTTCTTGATTCCATTTTGAATACTAGCCGTTACACCTCTATCGTCAGTATTCCACCACGACCCTCCTCGACTCTTCGACTATGATCCTCGTTAATGACTTAACTGTGACTCTCCTCGACCTTGATCCTCATCGGTATTTTGACTACGGCTTTCTTAGACTCCTCGACCTCGGCTAATGTGACTTCATAACCGTCTTTAAAATGGTGATTTGCGGATCCTTCTCGCACTGTTATTTTGACCTGAATATCCTAAAGGTAGATTTTGACTAATACATTAGGCAGATTAGGTTTTCCATCATTCTTTAATCTAAATAGGTCTAATCTATCTTTATAGTGAAAAACTTTGAGCGAATTGATTCATTAATGAATTTTCTAACTCATGCAAATAGCTAAACTGTATTACCTCTGGACTAAATTATGGCCTAAAAATGGAGGTGGTTAATTAAAGACGACAAAAACTAATAAAGGGTATAACTTCTCGATCATAGATGGAAAAATCTGTTAATAGAAAATGCACTGCCTATATGTATGAAAAAGGAAAGCTTTGTTTACGCAAATAGCTACTACATGTCTTCACTTGCAAAAATTGACAAGTTAACAAGCCTTGTGCTTCGCCTTCAAAATGAAACCTCCCATTGGAGTAAGATTTCACCCACTCAAATATTGACAGATGTCTCCCCTCCTCCCTAAGAAGGTACTGTATTTGAAAAGTAAAACTCCCAGTGATTTCTAGCTTAGAAGGCATTAACTTTCCCCTCAAGTTTTTGGTGTAGTGCACTTAACTCCTTTCAAGTGTGAGGTTTAGTGCAATTAACTCCCTCTCATATTTTTTTGCGGGCAGGGATGAGGCTTAACTAAATTAATTTTTAACGTTGAACAAAAATTTAGATTGAAACTTTAATAAATTTTAAATTCTAAATCGACATTTTAAAAATACAATAAATTCAGCACTAAATGTTCTAATTGTTGATCTATTAAATTTAAATCTTATTTAACTGAAACATTGCCTCTTTTTTTTTTTTTTTTGTTGAGCGAACATGGTTATTTTAGGTCAAAATAAAAGAAAAAGATACTATCTTTTATTTATAATTTAAATAAAAAAGAACAGAAAAAGACCCAGAAATGTAGTTTTCGCTTGCCCTTGCTCCTTTAATCACAAAACTTCTTTTCTCTCATTAGCTTCCCCTCTTCAAAGCTTTTAATTTCCTATCAACCTCTAAGTAATGGTCGAAACACTTACCATTAATTGAATATCTCAACAACCTAGAATCACCTTAACTACCCCTCTTTTGTAATTATTTGGTTACATAATTGGGTGCACTAGTGTGTACTCAATTAGGTTCTAATTTCAACCTTGGATCTGTTTTTCTCTACTCAAGATGGATTTACTTTTTTAACATATGTGTTAATAGGCCAAAACAGAAAAATTACAATGTCTTCACTCATCTGTGCATATACTCTAGATTACAAAATTTTATCTTGGTCAAATACATAGACAACCCCTTAAACTTGGCTCCAATTTTCATTTTGACGCTTCAATCAAGGCTTGTACCTATCGGATACTTCAACATAATATAAAGTGTGCCTATTGAACACTTCACTCATAATCAGTAAACAAAAAAAAAAGGTGCGTGTAATTCACATGCGAATGACTTGGCAAAATGACAAATAAGAGGGAGACATGTGGCATTTAGGCCCAAATAGTAAAAAAAAAAAAAGAGAAGGTTTTGAGTGAGAAAAGATTTATTTATACATAAGTTCCCCTAACTATTCCTTTGCCTCCCACCAATAGCCGCCATGGACACTATCTTCTCCGGTTAAACACACATGTACACGACAAAAACTAAGTACGTAATAAGAGGAAATCGAGATTTGATAAGCAAAATAATCATACTGTTTATCTCATATTCCTAGATCTCTAATCTCAAAGAAACTTTCAAGCATTGAAACATGGCGTCTGAAGAATCCGGAATGCAATCCAGTGAACGAATCTCAAAAGGAAGAAGGTGGAAATTAAGGTAAAAAGACTCCAAAAAGAATCCGCAAAGCTCGAGCCCAAACGCCGCCGTCAAGAGGTGACTGTAACTGCTGCCTCCACTGCTATCTCTGTTGTATTAGGCTTCACGGTGCAGTTCATTTTGATTGTAAAGCCTGAAGTCATGAGCAAATAATGAAATTCATTAGTTAAATCGTGAGCAGATGGCCAACACTGGTTACCTTGATGAATCCAACATTATTCTAGATCGAGTAGAGGTATAACTTAGTCATTTTAATTTTTTATTAAAACTACTAAAATGGGCATTTAATCTCGTAGCCGTAGGTGCTGAATCTCACATTATTTTCGTGGCGTAAAGGGTTTTTCTAGTCGGTGTGAGGAAAATGATGGTGGGGGTGGTGGCTCGGAGAGGAGGAAGAAGAAGAATGTGAAAATGAAATTATGATTTGGAAGGTATTTAAAAAAAAATAATTTTGGTATTACTTCACGCGTCTAAAGGGAGGTGATACACACTCTTTTTGCCACATCATCAGACGTGTTCAATAGGCATAATTTATAAGAGGTTGAAGTGTTTTATAGGTAGAAGTCTTAGTTGAGGTTGTTAAAATGGAAACTGAAACCAAGTTTAAGAGAATGTCTAGATATTTGGCCTTTTATCTAATGTACGCATTTGATAAATGTATGTGTGGATTGATGTATACAAACGTGTATTCATATGAAATACTAGTATATATGAGAATTAATAATGGATTATTTTATTGTTTTTATAAAGAGAGAGAAAGAAGAGAAAAGGGGGTAGGTGTGATATTGACCGAACTACCGAGCACACCACCATCTTCTCTACTCTTCATCATCATTACCCACCAGTCCCTCCCACTATATATACACCATTCCCTTCTTTCCTTTCTCAGCTTGCACGTTCTAAAAAGAGAACTACAAGCTTCAATTTACTCCTCTGCTTTTCATTTCATTCCTATTTTCGTCCCAAAATTTATAGATTACTTTCAATTTGCCCCGCGAAATCAAATTAGAACAAAATGCAATCTCTTAGTCCCTCATCTGGTATAAGTCTCAAATCCTTAATCCGGAAAACAACGCCGCCGCCGGGTCAAACCCACCGTTTCGATCCGGTTCGTTTTGTTATCCAATGCGGATACCGTTCCGACTCGGCTAACACGAATGCTAGCACTGTGAATACCAACGGCGCTCCGGTNCCGACGAGCTACAACTTCGCCGGCCACGTCGGCTCGTCAAGAGCTGACTGGCAGAGCTCTTGTGCCATTCTAGCTAGCAAGGTTGTCTCGCAGCAGCAGGATACGGAGAAAACCGGCGGAGCCGGTGACATCACCGTCGTGAACGGCCACAAAACTCTGGATCTCGTTCCTATTGATAACCTCCCCAAGCCGCTCACAATCACTGACCTCTCTCCTGCGCCGATGCACGGCTCTCAGATGCGCGTGGCCTATCAAGGCGTACCTGGCGCGTACAGTGAAGCTGCTGCCGGAAAGGCTTATCCTAACTGCGAAGCCATACCTTGCGATCAATTTGAGGTTGCATTTCAAGCCGTAGAACTCTGGATCGCAGATCGTGCAGTACTCCCGGTAGAAAATTCTCTCGGAGGTTCAATTCACCGCAACTATGATCTCCTCCTGCGTCACCGCCTCCATATAGTCGGCGAAGTCCAGCTCCCGGTCCACCATTGCCTGTTAGCACTTCCAGGCGTTCGTAAAGAGTACTTAACCAGAGTTATAAGCCATCCGCAAGCCTTAGCCCAGTGCGAGCTCACTCTCACAAAACTCGGCCTCAACGTATCGCGTGAAGCCGTCGACGATACAGCCGGAGCAGCGGAGTACATCGCCGCCAACAACCTCCGCGATACAGCCGCAATCGCTTCCGCACGCGCCGCTGAACTGTACGGTCTACAGATCCTAGCGGAGGGGATCCAGGACGATTCAAGCAACGTGACTCGGTTCGTGATGTTAGCGAGAGACCCGATAATTCCACGAACAGACCGGCCATTCAAGACGAGCATAGTTTTCGCACACGACAAGGGAACGAGCGTGTTATTCAAAGTGCTATCAGCTTTTGCGTTCCGGAATATCAGCTTGACAAAGATCGAGTCGCGGCCACATCGGAACCGGCCAATTCGGTTGGTGGATGATGCGAATGTGGGAACAGCGAAGCATTTTGAGTACATGTTCTACGTAGATTTTGAAGCGTCAATGGCGGACGTGAGGGCACAGAACGCATTGGCTGAAGTTCAGGAGTTCACATCTTTCTTGAGGGTATTGGGTAGCTATCCTATGGACATGACTCCTTGGTGTCCTTCTCGGGAGGAATAACAACTGTTTCTCCCCCACTCAAAATCAAAATCAACAAATAATTATTTTCTATTGTTTGTAATTATGATTCCGAAAGAGGAACAAACAAAAGACAATTTAAGTTTTACTTAATTCTATTGAATCTTTGCCCATTAGTTTATTTTTACATGTCTATATTACTGGTAAATTTTCGGGGACGTTTCATTTCACTATCGGGGTAGGTGAGGAGGATTAAGCGATGGATATAGTCTTAGATGATTCTCTTTAATTTGAGGATAATTACTTTTCAGAGCTAGAATTTACTCTTTATCTTTCAAATGAGAAGGTTCATATTCAATGTGTAAATATGTAATTCTTCTTTTTGTTTTCTATTTATGTTGGTTTATATTGGAAATTTATGTAAATGATTCTGGGAAATAGTTAAAAGGGTATCAGATTCGACTTTGGCAAGTTAAGGTGGCAGTAATGGGAGAGAGACAAGCCCAAAACAAAGATTTGGGATTCTATCAAGTTAGATTTCAGAAATACAGAATTAATGGTTTCATTTGGCGTTAATTCGAAATAATCAAATCAATAGATTACGGATATTGAATGATTAAATAAAAATAGTAAGAGATCGTTTTGGTCCGGAAACAAATTATAGCATGGTCAGTTATTTCACCCACCCATAAATCCATCTCAAATTTAATTATCTAGAATCGAGGAAGTTAGGTGGCAATAATGAGTCTGATTTAGCTTTTGACCTTTGAGTTGTGGTGGCTGCTTCCCTTATTTCTCTTTGCCCCCTCGTGCAATCTTAGTTCTCTCAACTACTTTCATTGACTTGTTCAGCTTCATCCTGCTTCCCACAAGGCTTATTATAGTACGGAGTGGAGTATTTTTTATTGAGAAACCCCTCCCCCTCTCCCTCTTTTCTAAAAATATTATGGCTATGAAATCCGGGGGATTTTGAATGAAGCCAGGTAGGAGAATGATAATCGGTCTTACCCGGTATTTTAAAAGTCTTGTGCGTAAGACAAGATATTTTATATATATCTCAGTGAGTCGTAAGCCTCGTAAGTATTTAATTTTTAATAATTTATAAAATAATATAATTATAGTAAATATTTATAAACAGGTAAAATTGCATAAAAATTGAAAAAAATTATAAATATATGAGATATACATATATACAGATGTGCTCTATCCCCATAAAAAATTAGTCAAAATAATTTATTACAAGCTATTTAGAAGCACAAGTAATTTGAGTCGAAAAGAATAAAGTTTTTTTTATATGCAGGAACAAAGAGGATGACTAACTTGCAATTTGAACTTTGAACTTGCTGTACTTGTAAAAAAAAAATTGAATATTCGCTGCTTGGGAGATATTAGCAGATTAACGGATTAGATAAAGAATCGGAAAATACCATGAATTGGGGCTTCAATCAATAAAAAAAGTTTTGACTTTTGAATTTAATACATTTCAGTTCCTTTTTAAAACTTTTGAGTAATTACCGAGCTGACTATGAATTTGGGTATTATATGAATGACTTATTCAACAAATTTTGTTTTAATTTGAAAGAGTCTTTGCGGCTTACGCCTCACTAAAAAAACGAGCCTCAAACGTTCGTACGTACGCCCCGAATTGATGGGCGTACGACTCTTAAAACTTTCGCCCCACACCATCGCCTCAGGACATTTTTGGTGTGCCTCGCTCCGAAAATACCTTTTAAAACACTGGTCTTACCTTTTCACTTTTCCGAAAACTTCCAAGGTTTAGAATACTTCTTTCTAATTATCGATTTCATTGATTTTTCTCCACTTCCATTTGGTTTCGATTCCATATTATTGATTTAATTTTAGAGATCATCTTATGTCACTATTAGGTAGGTGAGGGGGATTGATATTGATATAGCGTTGTAGATCATTTTCCTCAAATTTGTGTGGTAGGTGGAGATATGCCTTTATAGTGCTTTGAAAGAATCCCTTTTCATTCTACATTTCTAATACTACATTATGACGCCATTCAAACCCAAATTTCTTTTTGGCCAAGTATTCAGTTGAAGGTCTTGATTCTTGGCCAGTCAGATACAGACAATAGTCCGAATCTGTGACGACAATTTAGCCTTGCTCGAGTGTTGCTTTAAATAAAATTGATTACATTAACCTCACTCTAATTTTCTAAAATTATCAAAAGTCTTGCTTATAATGATAGGATCCCTCGTTACATTAGCCCCATAAGCCAAAAATAATAACAACTACGTCTCAGTCCCAAATAAAATTAAGGTCGTCAATATAAATCCTTACTTTTTTCTTTAAGTTCAATTGACTACATCATCATGCTAAAAATAAATAATACTATATATATACAAAAAAAAAATAGTAATAATATTAAAGTGATCTAAAAATTTAAAGCTTATTCCTAACTAAGTATCATCTATATGGATCTTTTTCTTTATTGTGCTCTATTTTTAATTAAGTTTGGCAGTCTACATTGATTTCAATAATTTGTAGGTCTTTTGATACAACTTCCATACCTACTTAAATTTAATGAAAAGATGGTCTGTATTTCTTCTTCATTTATTTCACATATTTTATGGAATTATTAGTTGAGAATGGATGCTAAGGAGTTCTTTGATAACAAATTATTATTTAATCTTTTAGAAATTCTAATATTCAAAATATCAAAAAGTATTCGCCATTAGAATGATTAGAACTACAGATTTCTTGATATTTGAAGAATAATGTAGTAAAACTTGTCACGAAAGAACTTTCAAATAGCGGGTGTTGATGATGTTAGGGAGTTCTCTATCACGTTCAAAGGAGTATTGTTTCTCAAATTTAAAAGGCTGAGGGTTGGTGAAAGAGGGTATGATGAAATTTACTCAAAGATTTATATAAAATTTTCAAATAGTATTTGAAGAATTGTTAACCAACTGCTTTTATAATTAGTACTATTAAATATATTAAAAAATATTTATTCATGGACCTATGACATATGGGAAAAAATGACAGAAAAACCACCAAATAATGGAGTTGTCTTAAACAAAAATGACTGAATCTTATCCCTAATTTTTATTAAGTTAGAAAATACGATAGAATNTTCTTAATGTCGACCACTTATTTTATATTTTGTTTAATAATCACAACTACCTTTGTGAGAGATAAATGACTAGACCAAAGAATAATTATTAAGGTGGAGATATGCCTCGTAATAAAATAAACATTAAAAAAAAGAAAGTAAAATGGTTAGCTAACAAAAAGATGGTACTAGTTCTAATCAAAGTTGTTGGTGATGGTTAACACCATGACCATATCTTAACTTTGATAGCCATCAAATGAACCTCTCCTCTGCAAATGGCAACAAAAAGCCTGGTTTTATTTGATGCTTTTCGTAAAAAGCAAATTATTTACATCGATAAGTAAAAATTGTACACTTTTAAATGTAGTTTAATGAATTATATCATGTTATTAATTATCATTTCCAGCTATAAATTCATACTTATAATAACAGTTACTTGTAATTATAAAAATAATTCAATATTATTAAATTTCTTTACATTGTGTATAAACCTTTTTGCAAACTTTTGGACGGCTATGTCTGTGTATTGACAATTTCCACCTAACGTGTGAATGGGTTTAGATTCTTGAGTTTTCCGGATACATAATTCTCTTAAAAGTAGTCGGTGAACTCAAAGATATGATACCTTGTATCTTTTTTGAAAATTATACGAAAACCCTTAATTTTTATATTTTTTTAGTGTGTTTATTCAAAGTGAGCTTACCTACCATTTGTTAGGCTCGTATTCGGAGAGGAAAATCAGTTTGAAACAGGAATAAAAAGGAACAGAGAAAATCATTACAAAAATGTTTTTATTCTGCAATCATTTTATCGTACAATTATGTCAAATACTAATACTTTGCCAGCAACAGAAAAGAACCATGTTGAAATTGTATACCGGTAAAACCGAGGCTAATGAGTACCTCAATTTCCCGATGAGGCAAACGAAGCAAGAACATGACTGCAAGGAATCGAAATCGAAGCCAGGAGCCTCTCGCATCAAGGTCCGAGCAAAACGCCTGCTCTCGGAGCCATTGAGGCCACGCCCCCGGGTCCGGTTCGAGTTCCAAGACCTCGGAGAGCATTACCAAACGACCACGCATGATTAACAAAGGGCCGTAATATCCGTGTCCAACCAGATATCACGGGGTGAATCTCAGCCCGTATCGGCAGTAGATCAGTGACTAGCGAAAATAAAGATTTTTACCTTTCTTAGAATTGTACTTAAGGTAGAACTCCCCTACTATATAAAGTGGAAGCTGATTATTCATTAGACACATTATAACACGTATATCAAGGTAATATACATTTGTTTTCTCTACTTTTAAAGGTCATTCAAAGTTCTTGATTTTACTCATAGTTCTTCATAAGTGTTTGGTTCCGAATCGAAGGCAAGTTAATCATTTGGATCACAACCCAGCATGAACTTGGTACTACTACTGGTTTGGCCATTTATTCTATCTTTAATTTGATCATCTAACACTGCTAATCACTTGTATTGAATTTATCCACATATCCTTAAAATCGCGTATAAATTCAATTGTTATCCATTTTTCAGGGTAAACAGTTTGGCGCCCACCATAGGGCAAAGGATAATAGTGGTAATTTGATACAAATTTTCAAAACACACTCTGTTTTACGCTTGTTATTTGAGATTTTAATTTCAGGTCAACTTAAGAATGTCAAACTCTCAACCTGCTCATTGAACGTTGATGCTAAGTCTGGCCACCATGGCGCAAACAACAATATAGTACCTAGCAACGAGGTGCCCCCTGCTGACCCCAACAGAGTCCCAGTTGCGGACCCAATCGATGCTAACTCACATGTGGCCATCGATGCAAACCTGCCGACCGACCCCGAGAAGAGTGTTCGCGGAGGAGCCTGATCAACAGCTCAAGGTACGCCTGACAGTGAAGGCGACGAGATCAATCTACAGGTGATCTTTGAAATATTACAAGTCCAACAGGCGGTGATAGCCCAGCTGCAGAACCAAAGTCGCGCCCCCATCAGAGTTGTGCCAGAACCATCCCAGGCAAATACCCAAAGAAATGAACAAGTCACAGAAAGGCCGGGTGAAGTTGAGCCCGGGACCAACCCAGAAATAATAAAGATGCTTGAGGAACTAA